GAAAGGGTATCGTTGCTACAGTCCTTCTCTACGACGATACTTTACTAGTGCCAATGTCACATTTGAGGAATTTATTTCATATTTTTTAGCACCTTCTCAGCCTTTGGATATGGACTTTGGGTCACCTCTTGTACCATCATCTCTTTCCTCATTTTCAGATATTCTACTGCCCATTGTGTTACCGTCTACCTTACTTTTTCGTGTATATTCTTGTCATCCTGGACCACCAACTGACGTGTTCGTATCGTCTTCTTTGTTGCCTTCTGATTTTGGTCCATTAGGTAATTTAAACTGTTTACTTATTACTTTTCGAAAAGGTACTTGTTCGTGTGTTACTAATCATCCCATTGCTCATTTTGTTTCATATGATGTCTTATCTCCTGTCTTCTCTTGTTTTACCTCTCAATTATTTATTATATCTATCCCTAAACATTTACAGGATGAATTATTTGATTCGGGTTGGAGAAAAGTTATAGAGGATGAGATAGATGCCTTACATCATAATGGGACTTGAGAATCTTGTTTTTTTATCCCTTGGTAAACGAACTGTTGGTTGTCGTTGGGTGTATACTGTTAAATTTCATTCGGATGGTTCTGTGGAGTGTCTCAAAGCCCGGCTTGTTGCAAAGGGCTTTATTCAGACCTATGGTGTTGATTATGGGGAGATTTTTTCTCCTGCTGCCAAAATTTCTTCTGTTCGTTTCTTGACTTCTTTGGTTGCTAATTTTGATTGGCCCTTGTTTCAGTTAGACGTCAAGAATGCCTTCCTACATGGTGACTTGGTTAAAGAGGTATACATAAAGCAGCTACCTGGATTTACTGCTTATGGGGAGTATGGTAAGAGTGTATGTTAGTTAAAGAAATCTTTGTATAGATTGAAGCAGTCACCGAGGGCATGATTTGGTAAGTTTTCCAATGCAGTTTTAGAGTTTGGTCTTTTTTGATGTCAAACAGATCATTTTGTGTCCCATAGACAGACGGATGCTGAATATGTTCTATTGGTGGTCTATGTAGATGATATTGTGATTACTGAAAATGATTGTGAGGGGATTGCTAAGTTAAAAATCTTTTTGAAAGATCGATTTCATACTAAGGATTTAGAAAAATTTAGGTATTTCTTGGGAATTGAAGTAGTTCGATCTAAACAGGGTATTTGTTTATCACAGAGGAAATATGTACTTGACATATTAGAGGAAGCAGGTTTGTTGGGTGGCAGACCGATTGATGTTCCTATGGATCCGAATCAGAAATTATTGATGGATGATGGTGCACTGTTTGAGAATTCGGGTCGGTATCGCAAATTGGTTGGGAAGCTTAATTATCTCACTATTACTCGACTGAATATTTCCTATGCAGTCAGTATAGTAAGTCAGTTCATGGGGTATTCTACAGTACCACATTGGGAGACAGTTACTCGTATTCTGTGATATCTTAAACGAGCTTCTGGATTTGGACTGTTATATCGAACTAATTGACATCTTAGAGTGGAAGGTTTCTCAGATGCTGATTATGTTGACTCTCTTTTTGATCAGAGATCAACCACTGGTTATTGTATTTTCTTAGGAGGTAAAGTTGTCTCATGGAAAAGTAAGAAACAATCTGTGGTAGCAAGATCCAGTGCTGAGACTGAGTATAGGGCAATGACGCATACGACGAATGAGTTGACTTGATTATTACACTTTCTCCAGGAAATTAGGTTTTCAGTTCAACCTCCTTTACAGTTGTTTTGTGACAACCTGCTATCCACATCGCTGCCAATCTGGTGTTTCACGGGAGAACTAAACCTATGGAGGTTGATTGTCACTTTATTCAGAATAAGATAGTAGTTGGGGAGATTACGACTCCATTTGTGAAATCTGAAGATCATCTTGCAGATATGTTTACCAAAGCATTGAGTCGTATACGTCTTACAGAGATTTGTTCCAAGTTTAGATTATATGATATATATAGTCCAGTTTGAGGGAGAGTGTTAAGAGTATTAGGGTAGTATATATAAATTATTAATAGTGTTAGGGTATTATGTGTAAATATAAAAGAGTGTGTATGTGTAATTCTTATTATTATGAGTTACCTATAAATACAAGTGATGTATGAGGGATAAATTAAGTTTTTAATCTCTCTGTGTTTCTCTCTTATAGTGTGTTAATCTTCTACACTTAACATTTGTAATCAAGAAATAAAAGAGCGAGAGACAAAAACGAAGGTACCTGGTAGTTGCAGGTGTAGTCTCTGTCAACCTATTTCAGATTGTTTAGTTATTTTGTTTGTACATCAGGCTATGGATTGTGGGCACAGTTTTCTTTCCTTCTAACCTGTTACTCTCCTTTTGTTCTCTCTTCTATTTTTTTTGATATCCGTGTGAGTTCCGCAAAATTTTGCCAGGTCTCCATTGCCTCTTCCCTTTATATAATTATATTTGGTCAAATTTCCAACGACAGTTATAACGTAACTATGTGGATGAATGTGGCGAGCTATGCATGAACAGTGAGTGCTTTGTTGTGTAAGAGTAAAGAGCAGACCTTTATCTTCCGTTTCCTCCATAGATGCTTTTCAGGAATCTACACCTCATTCTATGTTGAATAGAAAGGAATAGCATGGCCAATAAAAAATAGTGTCTTTTTTATTTCTATCTAATCTTAAAAGTGCTGTCTCACCACTAGTGATGTTACATCACTTGAGTGAAGCCCTCTTTACACTCTCAAGACTGGGACCATATGGGCCTACAGGTAGCTATCCGGACTTGAATGGGTTGTTTTGATTAGAACATTTTTCACCTTCTTTAGATGGAAAAATGACATCCAATATATCAACACCATTGTTTGTTCATTGGAATATTGAAACTTGACAGCACAATTATCATGTTCTCCTTTAGATCATATATACCCATATTCTTTTTGTGACTTCTGAAGCAATATGAGGTATCCTTGTAGCTACTTAGTTAAAGGTGAGAGCAAGGCAAGGAGCTAAGCATGAAAATTTTGAAAATGTTAAGCTTCAAGAAGATCCAGATAATGAAGTGGCGGACGAGGATTGCATCATGCGGTGGCTCTGCAGAAACGCGTGTCTGTGTTCAAAGAGAAGTGCCAGCTAAATGTTGCCATGGATCATATGGTGCAAGGCAGTTGTTGTGGAGATTCTGGTCACAGTGGAAGCAAGCTGTGAGATGGCAGAGAAGCACCGCACAGTTCAGCTATGATCCTCACAGCTATTCTCAAAACTTTGATGACGGTTGCTTCCATGATCATCTTTCACCTTTAGCTCCACCATGATTCTCACCTTTTATACTGTTGCTGCATTTCATCAATTTCTGCTTTTAAGGAAGTTTTTAGTTATTTCACCAGAATTTTTCACTGTATTATTTGGCTTTCCTCTTGGTCTTGCGTCTATTGCGGTGGTTGTCAATATCCATTTCTCCATTGAATTTCTACGGGACGAACTAACATGATTTTTATGCAGGATTCTAAAATGTTGGCTCTTGTTTCTTTTCAACAACCAACTACAGAATCGTTAAGTTGACCGACCTTGTAATCGTAACTTAAGTATTTATATCATCAAGAGCTATTCGAGTGTCACAAGTTTGAGTGACAGTTTTTATGCATGCGGGTAAGAGGGTGCATTAGAGGTCATCTTCTCATTTATCTGATTGCTTAATTGAATCCTTTGAATTCCTTTGCAGCAATTGTGAAGCTGCAAATATTGGATTATGCATCTCTCTCTCTCTCAAATATTGGGTATCGTACCATTTTCAATAATACAATTTTTTAGAGATATAAGTGGACTAACTAGCCTTTTTTTATATATACTTGTCAATTATGTTAGGCGAGTCGTGTTTATGTTGAGTCTTAGCGATTGTGTTAAAAATATTTCATTCATGTTTAATTCGATTATTAATTCGTGTTTAAAGAATTGTTATATCGAGTATGAATTATATATAATTGGTATAATATTTGATTTGTTTATTAATTGTGTTGTGTTGGATTTATTTGTTTTTTAATTTTTTAATTAATCCCATGTAAGCACTGAATTAGATCTCAAACAAGTTTTAAGGGTGGCTCTAAGTCTGATATTTAGTAATTTAAATGTTTCATGTTCAATTTTTTGTTATACCTCTTAAGGTTTTTTTTTTTTGAGTTCAAGGTCAGGGGTGTTTGGGTCAGTTTATATATACTCTAACTAATTCTTTTTTTGGTTTAATCAAAGATAAACTATTAATATCAGGACTAAGATATTTATGAAAGATAAAATTTTTATGCTTTGGTCAAGTTTTGAACTTAAGACATTTGAATTTACTGTTTGCCTTTGTTATTAGCCACACTAGGTTTTTAAGGACATGCTCTAATCGAGTTTAAGTTTTGGTGGTAGTTATTAAACTTAAGGGAATAGAGTTGTTAATTAAACTGAGCTATTTGAGCTCAACTTTGGTTTGATTCGTTTTTGNCTATTTGAGCTCAACTTTGGTTTGATTCGTTTTTGGTTCATTAAGAACGAGTCTAATTTGAATAATTTTTTGGGCTCATTTTTCAAGTTTGATTGGAACTCAACATACTCGACTGATTTATGTGTAAATATTTGGATACGACTCGTTTTGGGTTCGTTTTCTAAACAAGTCGAATTTGAACAATTTTTTTAGATTCAGTTAAAAAAACGAGTTTTTTATGGTCGACTCGAATCCGTTCGTTGGATTATCAACCTTACAAGGGAATAGTCCAGGTAAATCTGGACACTCGGGCAAAAAAGGAAAAAAGAATTAGATCTCAAATCAAATTTTCAACATCTGCATTGCTCTTTTTCCTTAACGCCTTTTGTACCATTCCGACAATGTATGACCAAAAACTCATCAGCACTCACCATTAATGACTATAGTCCAATTTAATCAATTATATCTTAAACCACAGCCCATGTGCCTATGATGATTCCCCCTTAATCACTCTCAAAAGTTGCCATACTCTCTCTTCAATCTCTCTCTCTCTCTCTCTCTCTCTCTCTCTCTCCTTGTGAGGATGCCGATGGGAAGAACTTTAGTGCTCTCACTAGCCTTCATGACCCTATGGATCGGATTAGCAGTTGCAGATTGGAACATTTTGAATCAAAGAAAGAGGAATGTGTTTGGCGCAAGCTTGAAGAATTATTGTGAGAGTTGGAGAATTAATGTTGAGTTAAACAACATTAAAGAGTTTGATGTTGTCCCCCAGGAATGTATTGAGTACATTGGAAAATACATGACTTCAACCCAGTACAAGGCGGACATAGAGAGGGCCATTGAAGAATCTTCACTGTATCTGAGTAGCTGCTGTTCTTTAAACGGTAATGGTAAAGATTCATGGATCTTTGATGTTGATGACACTCTCTTATCAACTGTGCCCTATTTCAAGAGACACAACTTTGGGTAAGTGTCCATCCTTAGATCATTTCTTTAACTAGTATTTTCAATGGGTAATGCCGTAGTGTAGTCAAGTCAAGTTGTGTCATGTCATATGTGTCAAAATTTACTTGATTCATATCTTATTCATATAATCGTCGTAAAAAATTTAATATTGGTANAGTCAAGTCAAGTTGTGTCATGTCATATGTGTCAAAATTTACTTGATTCATATCTTATTCATATAATCGTCGTAAAAAATTTAATATTGGTATAAGTTGAGTGTAGTCAAATTTGTGTTTGATCTATTAATTTGATGGGTTCAGTGGTGTTGGGCATGAGTTTTCAACCCAAAAAACGCACCTGGTAAGTGGATTTGATGCTGGTATAAGTTGAGTGTAATNGGTGTTGGGCATGGGTTTTCAGCCCAAAAAACGCACCTGGTAAGTGGATTTGATGCTGGTATAAGTTGAGTGTAGTCAGATTTGTGTCTGATCTATTAATTTGATGGATTTAGTGGTGTTGGGCATGAGCTTCCAGCCCAAAAAATGCACCTAGTAAGTGGAGTGATCCGCTCCCCTTATATGGTCAGATCCCTTCATCACTAATCAATGTGAAACTCGTTTGACACCTTAACAATTTATCTCTCGAACGAGACTTACAATTGATGACCATCATTATTATCTTATCTAGCATAAAGAGCCAAGTCCACACAATGGCTTGGGCAATGGGTCTGATAACACTTGTTGGGCATTAGTTTCCAACCCAAAAGGCGCATCTAGTAGTGGAGTGATCCCTTCCTTTATATGGTCCAGGACTTGCTCATCACCAATCAATGTCAAACTCGTTTGCCACCACAATAGGTGGATCTATCAAATTATTGCCAAAATTCTCTACGACTACACACTTAATTCGTGTTCAATTTTTTGTCGGGTTCGTGGGTGGTGTTTAGACTTGTGGTGTCTATTCCTACTGTTTACATTGATGTTGTGGGTGTAAGATTTACTCTTTACATTGGTACAGTTATGATCTGGGTGTAAGATTTATGCATGTGATTTGAAAATTAGGGGAGAGAAGCTGAATATTACCTCTTTGGAAGGATGGATGAGAGAAGCTAAAGCACCAGCACTTGAGCATACACTGAGACTCTTCGACGAGATCAAAAGCAGAGGGATTAAGATCTTTTTGATTTCCTCAAGAAGAGAATGTCTGAGAGATGCCACTGTTGACAATCTCATCAAGGTTGGATACCATGGATGGACTAGTCTCATATTAAGGTACACTTTGGACAAACTTTTGGTGCCTCTTTTTTATTTATTGAAATTGGTTGGCCAATTAAGTCTCTAGATTTTTTTTTGTCAACTGTGCCTTTGAATTCTCTAATTATGTCAATTGAACTCCTTCTATTTGCCTCCATTAGAATATGCCACTCATGTGACTATATGATACAAAGAGACAAAATGACTTAATTAACACAATTAGAGAGTTTAGAGGCACAAATAACATGTAAAAAAAAGTTCAGAGGTTTAATTGACACAAGAATCATAGTTTGAGGGTCATATGTATAGTTTACTTCATCCATTTGTGTTACGTGTATGACATACTTCGCCACTTTTTGTTAAAAAATCTAACAGAAGCCAACTTAAAGGCTCAATTGATACAATTAAAGAGGTTATATGTTCAATTGACACAAAAAAAAAAATTAGGGACTTAATTGACACATAGATCATAGTTTAAGGATCATATATGTAGTTTAGTCAACATATTTTGTTGCCATTAACTCATCTTTACATGATTTAGCTACAGTGCAACAAAAACCAAGTTGTACCTTGATAGACTAATAAAAATATTGCCTTGGTCAAGGATTGAACCATTGCATCTAGAAAATGGTGTCCAAGAAGTGCTGAGAGACCCAGTTGAATCAGGGAAAAGCTTCAAAACTTAGCGTGGGTTGGGTGCCTTGGGGCTTTGGATTACTTCTATTGATTTTGTCAAACAAATAAATTGGAGAAAAGTACTGTATACGTTCTAATCATCAATTCAAATGTGTAATAAATTCTCTGAGGAGGACAACAATCAAAAGAATATTTCAAAATAGAGGTATTAAAATGACATGCACGATAGTAGAGATGATAACTTTGTTGAATATTGATGAATTTACACTTTTTTTTGTCGTTCAATATGGTGGTATTAACAATGAACAAAAGGGATTTCCTCTTTTTTTACTTGGTTACAATCTTTACTATGGATATAGGGGTCTCACCGACGAATATAAACAAGTGCACAACTACAAAGCCGAGGCAAGGAAACAATTGGTTAATGAAGGGAACGACATTTGGGGCATCGTTGGAGACCAATGGAGCAGTTTTGATGGATCCCCAAGTGCAAAAAGAACATTTAAGCTTCCAAATTCCTTGTACTACGTTTCCTGAAGCTCAAAATCTACAGCAGACAAGTTACTATTTAACAAGCTTCCAGTGATGGTGGTTATATTGTTGCAATTTCTATGCTGGTGTGTATTGCTTTGTAACTGATGAAAAATCTTCTACCTCTAAAGAATTTGTTTGAATGTGTTTGAACCACTCTCATCAAATTGATATTAATGCACAACTCTCTCTCTCTCTCTCCCCCAAAAGAATGTAAATGGGAAGAAACATACTGTTCTTACAATCTATCATANTACTAAGCACTGATATGGAGCCATTTCTCACACCATGGAAATCGATTGTTTGGGGAGATTTACAACAGAATGGGACTAAAATCGACTTAAATAAGGGGATTACCTTTTTATTTGGAAAACTTTTGATTCCCCTTCTCTTTTGAATAGGAATCATGTATTTATTCAAATGATTTTTAGGTTAAAAAGGAAAAGTTTATGTCTTCTCAGTTTCTGTAATTATGGCAAAGATATTCTACTCCTTACATATATACCAAAAGCTTCAAAAAGCCAGTGGAACAAAATTAGCGTCTCAAAAAACTAGTATCTGAATTATTTTTGAGAGAAATTTTAGAAAAATGTGTTTTTGTGTTTTTTTGTATTGTAGAACTTGTTTGGTTATATGCTTTTAAAAACAGTTCTATGGAATAGAAAATAACAAAACTTGCTTGGACAGTAACTCAAATAACAATAAAAATTGNACAATGAACAAAAGGGATTTCCTCTTTTTTTACTTGGTTACAATCTTTACTATGGATATAGGGGTCTCACCGACGAATATAAACAAGTGCACAACTACAAAGCCGAGGCAAGGAAACAATTGGTTAATGAAGGGAACGACATTTGGGGCATCGTTGGAGACCAATGGAGCAGTTTTGATGGATCCCCAAGTGCAAAAAGAACATTTAAGCTTCCAAATTCCTTGTACTACGTTTCCTGAAGCTCAAAATCTACAGCAGACAAGTTACTATTTAACAAGCTTCCAGTGATGGTGGTTATATTGTTGCAATTTCTATGCTGGTGTGCATTGCTTTGTAACTGATGAAAAATCTTCTACCTCTAAAGAATTTGTTTGAATGTGTTTGAACCACTCTCATCAAATTGATATTAATGCACAACTCTCTCTCTCTCCCCCCCAAAAGAATGTAAATGGGAAGAAACATACTGTTCTTACAAGCTATCATAAGGCAGTACATTGGTTTGTGAAATTGTGCTCTTCTTGCTTGGTTTGCATTAGGCTGTACGTCGGGTTTGTCATTGCAGATTGGGAGCTTTAAGTCCAAATATGCAAGTGCTAGATCACATTACTGATATGGTGTTTTGACATATTGTGGAAATGGAACAAGTGCATCGTGTTTTTCATNATATCAGGTGCACCAAAACCATTTTAGTCAACAACACTTTTATTGTTAAAAACAATAGACATGTCGGACCCATGCAAAAGCTACCGAATAGGTTCGATACATCTTTAATAACTCTCGATAATCAAGTTCAATCCGACATTCATTAAATCATTTTAAAAAATTAAGGGTAAATTTCATTAACACTACTTGAATAAACATAATTTCAAAGACACTCTTTTTATTTTTTAAAATATCAACTGATACCCCTTGTCAATAATTATCGACTAATAGAAAAACAAAAAGCGGACGTGAAGTATCCTTTTATAAATTTACCCCTAACAGATCATTTATTTTATATGAATAAAGTTCACTAATATATTTACATATACTTTTAAATATACATATACGCCCACTCACCCCTAAAGCATTATTTTCCATTCCTTTCTCTTTCAACTTCAATAATCTATTATTTAGTTTTATTAATTTAATACTAAATTAATATTTAATTTTATCAATTTAATTTTTTTATTAAATTATTACTAAATTAATGTTTAATTTATCATATTAACATTAATTATCACCACATTGCATTTAATTTCATGAATTAACACCAAAATTGTCTGTTAATTTTATCAGTTTAATATTCAATTAACATTCAACTTCACCAACTAAATATTTAATTTTATTAAATTAACATCAAATTGACCTTTAATTCCCTTGAATTAACATTCAAAATTATTAGTTTAACATTTAATGTTTTTAATTAACATTCTATTTTATCAATTTATTTATTTTTAATTAAACATTCAATTAGCATTCAAACTAATCAATTTAATACTTGATTTCCACAATTTAAAATTAAATTTGATCAAATTTACACAATCTGACTTTCAATTTAACATTCAAACATTGGGATTTTCTCTTAATTTGCATGTTTTTTTTTTAATTTTAGTTAAATTAGACTTTTCTTAGGTTTTATGTTGAATTAGACTTTTTTATGTTTTAGCTCCAAAAAGATATGAAGTAGGAAAGAGATAGGAAAATATTTTTTAGTTACTTTATTGAGGAGTAAATTTGTCATTAATAGATAAATATTGAATGACATTACTATTTTTTGATGTGTCATTAATGTCTCAAATTGTAAGGGTATTAGTTGAAATAAATCTATAAACCAAAAGAGAGTGTAATGATATTTTAAAAAACATTAGGTATGTTTATAAAATTATGTCTATATACCAGAAGTGTTATCGAAATTTACCAAAAAATTAAATATCTATCCTAAAAATAATAGAAAATTTGTACCATCTCTGCACCGGTAACGTCTATCTTTTTGTGTGCAATATACATATATTACAAATAACTCGTGTCTAAAAATATTTGTTTTATATTAAAGATAAAAATTTTATTACTCAAAAAATGTTGATTTGAAACTATCAACTCATTTGTAAAATTTTTGGTGTGTATAACATTTTTCTTTTTTTTTTTGGGACATCGACACTAGCTCGAAGATCTTTTCATTGGATCGATGCATCTATAATCCACCCATGACTTGACAGTTGACAGTTGACACTTGTCTTGTCCATTCAAAGTTGTAAGGGGTCACTTTTATGAGTGGATGCACGAATAAAAATAACAAAAACAAAAAAAAAATGCTATTTATACTTCAAATATTGATTTAATTAATTATAATTATTAAATTTATACTAAATTTTAACAAATACTTAAATTCATAATTAAGTCAATGATAATAATTAATAATACATTACTCTAAAATTTATGTATATAATATTAGAATTAGTAATTTAAATTTTAAATTTATAAAAATATATAATAATAATTAAGATTAATTTTATTTCATTTAAGTAATACAAAATTCATTTTTTTTTTTAAATATCATCTTCTAACTCAACTAACTTTCAATGTAATACCAAACTGTTCTACATCCCTCTCTTTCTTATTTATTTATTTATTTATTTTATATCTGTTCTAATTTTAAATTGTGTTATAATTAAAAGAAATATTATTTAAAACATATACATTGAATAATACTCAATTTTTACTTCTTACTGAATGTATTCACAGATGAAGTTATTATTAGTTTACTGATATTATATCTAAAGTATTTTCTGATCATAAAATAAAATAAAATTACACAGCCACGTCATCATCAGAATAATATTCGTTTTCCTATATATTTTTTTTATAATTTTTCCATATATTTATTATTGTATACAAGTTGATTTTTCCTTACNACAGATGAAGTTATTATTAGTTTACTGATATTATATCTAAAGTATTTTCTGATCATAAAATAAAATAAAATTACACAGCCACGTCATCATCAGAATAATATTCGTTTTCCTATATATTTTTTTATAATTTTTCCATATATTTATTATTGTATACAAGTTGATTTTTCCTTCCGAAATAATTGATCCGTGAAAAAAAAAATATATTAGTAAAAGTCTAAATCCATCATTATCCATTTCACATACATGCCCACTGTCCCTATCTAGTGGGACCCATACACAAGGACTGTCAACAAACTTTCCATGTAACCACACGCGCCCCAAAAGGAGCGTGATTTAGTGACGATCACTTCCCATTGTAAATACTGCTCTCTGTATGTGTTTGTGTCCAAAGCCCCAACAAAAGAAAAACTCGCAACTTGTCACCGTCCAATTCATTGGGTACGCCGGTGACAAAGCCCCATAACACCGGTCCGTATCATCAGTATATACATATGTATAAGATGTGTTTACATCATAGGTCTGTCCCTTAGATTTCTGTTGTTTGGTTCGGGAATTAGCTCTGCGAAGATAAATTAGTGGTTCGATGTGGCGCTCTTTGGGTCTCAGTTTCTTTATTTTCAGTGATTTTTGGTAAGAATTTTGGATACCCAATTCGTAATTTGATTATCGAGTTTAGAGTCTGGAAGGAATTTAGATGACCCATGTCGATTTTTTTCGTTCTTTTAATCTTTATTGGCTGCATAATTGAATAGGGCTCTCTCTCTCTCTCTCTCTCTCATAGGAATATGTCTGTGTACTACTTGCAACATGCTGAATGTATTGTTAGCATTGCATAGTTCATGTACATGTATGGCTTGAAACGAAGGAAATATTTTTTTTGGGGTTTAAATGGCAATTTTCTTTAACCTTGTGTTTTTGGACTTGATTATTCGAGCTTATAAATAAGCATTTCGGTGGTTTTTATGCAATTGCCTTTTTAGCTTGAGTTGGGGGCTTGAATAGGTCAGAATGGTGGGAAAAGGATTCCTTTAGCGTACCCGACTAGTTTTTTGAGGCTTTCATGTGGTGATATGTTGGATATTTGGAAGATGAGAGAATTTAGATAGTGATATAACCTTGAGATATTCTATGATTGTAATTGACGAATTTTTTTTAGCTTTTAATGTTTCATGTAGATGGATGATATTGGATTGAATAGTTTTTAGATGTTCTGCAGTACAATAGCTGGTCAATTCTGTGTGTGCGCACAATGTTTAGAAGCCCAGGCTTCATCATGCCAGGCAGTAAACTTTGGTATCCTTTATTTTGGCACCAAAGTTTACAAGCTATTGCTTAATCCCCCCTCCCTCTGGCTAGATGTCGCATTCACAAATGTGACATATGTTTTGCATGCATAATTTTATTCTCCACTCACTGATTATGGTATTCTATCATCCACAACAAGACGAGGCTTAGTATTTGTCATCTCTATCAAGGTGGGATACTAGGTAAGCCAAAGAGAGCTTTCTCACTTCGACCAACCTTAACTACCAGGAGTATCATTGCACCTGTCAAACACCAGCCCAACATTTGCAGTACCTTGTAGACATCGAAGTATGCATTTCATAGCCAGCCAATTAATCTCACCTGGGCTGTCACCACATATTAAGGAGGAGGTAGAGTACAAGTCACATGTTCCTTATGCCAGTTCAATTTGAAGCATTATGTTTGCTACGGTGTGCACTAGGCCAGACATTTCACATGCCTTAAATGTGGTTAGCCAGTATATGGATCGAATTAGGTGGCTTGAAGTCAACACACCGAAAGTGCACCTAACTTTGGAGGCTCAATTAGTGCACCGAAAGTACACCAGAGTTAAGGATTCTAATTTTGGGTACTTCGCATCTACCTATAAATAGGCTATTGAGTTTCTTGTTACTGCATCAGAATTTGACACAAATTCCTTAAGTGAAAGAGTTTGTTTGATAGTGTGAATTGAGAGGGGTGTATAAGGGTTTAATGGTTAGGTTTTGAGATAGAAATATGAGTGGTTAGCTTGTATTGATATTCTTAGTTTCTGTGATTGTTTCAAACTATACCAAGATTTTTTTAACAGGAAACACAGCTCCTTTTCTTGAACTACGAACCCACCTAGTTGATACATGTAAATCTGTTCGTCCAACTCGCCATGCAGAATTGTTGTTTTGACATCGAGCTGCTCAAATTCTAAGTAAAATTAATTAATCATGTCCAATAGCACTCTGGTCGAGCTATGGTTCACGACTGGAGAGAACACTCCGTTGAAGTCAACACCCTCCTTCTGTGTGTAGTCCTTGGCCACAAAACGAGCTTTTAAACGAACATCT